TGAAACAAGCAGGCGCTTACAGCGGCGAGGCCGGCGCTAACCTGCCCAACCCCAACTCGGACACATTACCACCTCAGCCGTTCCTGCCCCACTTTCAAATTTCTCTCCACATACTCACAAGCCTGCCCCAACATCGTTTCAAATCACTCAGTTCGCTCCCGGTCAAGCAAGCAGGATCAGCGTCGGTTTCAGTCAGTCACCATGGCCTCCTTCGAAACAAAGCAAGTAAAATCTCACAGAGAGTTCCATAAATGACATGTACACAGTATAAGCATTCCCAACGCGAGAGTAATACCAATGCCCAGTCGTAGCACGGGAGCTAACAGTACTGCCCCAGCTTACCCCCAATCCGAGCCGTGCTATTTGATATGGACGGCCTTTTGATCAATTCTGAGGATATCATTACTCTATGTACGACAATACTGCTTAACAAATATGAAAGGCCAGCCCTAACCCGGACGATTCGGGCTCAGCTTATGGGTGTCCCAAACTCGACAAGCAGTGACACGTTCCATAACTGGGCTAGGCTCCCTATATCCCGGGAGCAATGTGAGGACGAATTGAAGGGGTTAATGCGACTACACTTTCCAGATTCCCAGCCACTGCCTGGTGCAGAGGAACTTCTGTCAAACCTCAGCCGCGCGCGGAGTGCGACTTCAGGGGATCGTATTGAGCTGGCATTGGCGTCTAGCACCAAAACCGAGACATACGAATTAAAAGCTTCGCGCCCAGAAACGAAGCGGCTGCTTGATTTCTTCCTGCCTGATAGGCGAGTATTGGGCGATGACCTCCGGCTACGGCGAGGCCGAGGGAAGCCAGCGCCAGATATATATTTGCTCGCACTGCAGTCGATAAACTCGGCAGCAAGTCCTGGCATGAAGCCCATTGTACCTAAGGAGTGCTTAGTCTTTGAAGATAGCGTGGCTGGTGTTGAGGCTGGAAGGCGGGCTGGGATGAGGGTGGTTTGGGTGCCTCATCCAGATTTGGCGGCCGAATATCAAGCACAGGAGAAAGACATACTGGCTGGCAGGACGGGAAAGTTTGATTTGGGAGAGGACTGGCAACTAGGAGAGATTGACGACAGCTGGGCTGAAACCATACCGAGTCTCAACCACTTCAATTATGCAGAGTATGGTATCGACATATCATCCTAGGCAACTTCTATCCCCACAGCATGAAAACATAGAGGGTAGATTCACACTCTTTAACCGAATCTGATATTCTAATCGCCACTGTTTTCATATATCCATGCTCCAAGAGAATGCAAGGTTGACTAAAGCTTTCTTATAATATGTGATATGGTTTCGATTCCTGTCCAACCCGAGGACCAACTACCTCGATGAATGAGGAAACGTCTACGGTGCAAATTGAAGCAGATATCACCAGTTTATTAGTAATTTATTATAGCTACTACTGGTCATAAGAGACAATTGTTAAATAAAATTATATCGAAAACTTGGAACTTGCCGTGTTGTGACGAAGGCTTCCCGGAAATTCCGGAAGCACTTATCCGGGACATCAACAAGGGCCCCACTCTTTCCCGGTCGATTTCAGCACCGTCAGCGGTCGGATATCCCATTCCTCAAATTCTTGAGCTTCCCTTAACTCGACAGCTAGGGTGACTTCCCGTAGATATTCCATCAAAATGACTGTAGCCTTAGTGGCGATGCCACTCTGTTTAGTCTGTTTAGAGACACCGCCTTGTTCTGAGAATGCCGTTGTGTTTCGGAAGAGCCACAAGTATGCATCGCCGGACTCTTTCCGATGCCCCAGCTGCTGGTGTCACTTGGCGTGCTGTCGCGCCAATTTAATAGTGGAGTCAGCTTGCGGAAGCCTGCCACACGCGCTTAGCGGTAGGATGATGCTCAGGTAGATGTCTTCTAGACTTCCAAGTCCAGTACTCTAGATGTCTTGAGCCATTTTTGAGAGGTGGGCGTTGTGCAGTGTAAACAATTGCGATGCCGAATCACTACCCACGCTGTCTGTCTCTATGGGCCGTATATCCGCTCCGCCGACAATTGGATTCGGCGTCTTCGCTGCAGCCCAGATGAAGGAAGAGAACATATGCTGGGCGAACAATGTCGGCAAGGGGCGGTATGATTCAGCCGCTAAGATCCCGTTCTTTCTATCACCGGCTAGATGGTCGGGAGCATCCTTGCTTAGGGGTTCTGGAGACTCCTGGGCCTTGTATACACGTGTGCGAACGTCTGCGTGAGAATTAGGACTCGAGTTGGAGACGAATTCAACTACCCGGTGGCCCTCCACCTCAATTGTCTTCGTCTCCTGTGTCGCGTTAGATTCCTCCACTTTGATGAGCCCGACAGCACCATCAGGCAACCACCACTGGAGCTCTCGGTGCAGGCTCGGCGTGTAGAAACCAAGGAGCCGCAGGCTGCGTTTCGAAAGTCTCCCTTTGGATCGCAACCGTCGTCTCTGGAGGCTTTGTTGTCGGCCCTCTCTTCGCCATTCCTCCCCGTTATTCCCGTACTACTTCCATTCCGCTCTTGCTTATCCATCGCCCGTTTACTGTCATGTTCCAGGGCATTCTTGTGCTTATACACGGGATATAGCCACAACGACAGCGCTGCTTCGATCTCGTCCGAGTATGCTTTCCAGTTCCCATTTTTTCTAACCGGAAATGTATCGATTCACTGCCACAGGTTTCAAGAGACCAGGTAAAGTTCAGGGTGGAAGGACCAGAGAGAGCGCCCATTGCGACCTCTATTGCCCTTGTAAGGGAGATGGCCTCTGCGGATGCGGGCCCATGCCAGTCGGTGAGCTTAGCGAGATCTCTCCTTATCATCATCACCCTGTGGGCCTTTGACTAAGAATTGGAGCTTTTGCCCCGGACTGCCGAGTCGGAGATCTGAGCCATGCTATGATCTCCTTTTTCGTGCGTGTGCGATAGTTTCTTCGATTCCTCAGTGTTTGTGCCATCGGTGTCTTAGGCCGACCTTTCTTTCTTAACTTCGACTGTGGCAATTTTCCAATCCCAACCGTTTTTGTCCGCCCTTGGTCTGTCCCATTTCCCGCTATTCGCGAGATCTTCGGGCTCCGAAAGAGTCAGCGCCAACCAGTCCATCTCGTGGCCAGAAAGAAGGGGCCGGGTCCCTGGAAGTTCGGCGAGGTTTCGACGGACCCACGCTCTGAGAATGGCCATCGCCACGGTTGCGAAGAGCTGTGCGATGGAAGCTGACCAGAGCATTCCGCGCAAACCAATAAACTGCACGACGAATCCAGAGAGACTGATGATAGTGCCCGCGACAGCCTTGAATTCCAAGGGATGTAGTCTGATCACTTTGTTTAGCGCTCGTGTCCGAGAATTGCTCTCTTAAAAGTTCGTCGAAGGTTTCGGTCGCCGAGATGTCACGTAATATCTTGGAGGCGCTTTTGAGAAAATGGCGAACTAACCAAAGGACTAGTCATTGACTGTTTCCGCCTTCTGTAGCCAAATCACTTGAGCGTTCTCTCTTTTTGCCTCATAACTCTTCTCTTCGGTGCTACTCTCGACGACATTGGCGCAAAGCAACATGCCAAACACCAAGACAAGCGTCCCGATTGCGGTGGAAGGGTATGCATAAGTCGCGATCGCAAGGTCATTCTTGAGAAACATCTGCGCGGGGTAGTAGGTTGCGAATCCAGAGTACACAAGAACCCCGAACTGGAGCAGGGTCGCGACTACTGCTATAAGCCACAGCTCCCTGAAGCTCTGCCGGCTGTCGATATTCAGCGAGATATTTGGAGCGTCTATGTGGATGTCCTTGACGGCCGTGGATCCGTTATTTTCGGAGCTACCAACCTCAGGAGTATGCTCCTTATCGCTTAGGCCTGCCTCTGGGTTAACCCTAGAGTTAGTACTGCTCCACGGAAATATCATGCTGGTTCTGGTTGGATCTATTCCTATGGTCAGATCAACACCACCAGGCGGCTGATAAAACGCACTGACCGGAGTACTTTAAATAGTCTTCGAATTTGCTGTACTGGTTGTTCGTGGCCTTTCCGACTTCCTGGTTGCAGTCTTTACGCGGAAAAAAGCAGAGAAATTCGCGAATCGGCCCTTCTCCTATTACCCTAACAATTTCCCGACCGTTCTAGAGCTTACACACTTTATGCGAGGTAGAAGACATTAGTTCGGCCTTGGCAACCGCTCGGCCCTCCCTTGCTCTTCCAATGATGGCCTTAAGCCATGAAGGGCCGCCAACTCTAATAGCGCCGACAATAACAGTGATTACGCCCAGGGGAGCCATTGCCAGTATGATGTTGTCAGCCCAGCCCATAGACTGGCTCATGAACTGCATGGTGACTTGTTCTCCAAAGAGCGCCAACAGCCTGACCACAATAGACCATCAGCGCGTGAGTGAGAACAAACTAGAGGAGAAGACGCACGGTGCCAAGTCTGAGAATAGATTGTTGGAGAAGTCATCTCCAATGTCTGCAGCAACGCATCCTGCGAATGGTAGAGCGAAGAGGAGCTTCAGAATCTTGGCAGCCGACAATTTGCCAGGCGAAGACGGGGCATCGAGTAGGCAGATCAAACCTCGACGCGTAACGTAGGGGCGTAACTTCCCTAGGTCAATCGAGACTGGACGCACTCGATGACAAGTAGGTATCTCGTGGATCTTTCACACTATATAGAGTTCCAGTTGTCTTGCAGGTGGGGGGAGAGGACGCACCCTCAAATAGACTGCCACAAGGGTTTGTGAAAAATTTGCATATTGCAACTGTCAAACCACATACCCTAATATGGGTAGCGCCCTCTGCGTGATGATTGGTCTCCTGGTCTTTATCGGCGATTGTGCAGATTAAGTCGACGGAAGGGGGTATCAAAGGTGGCGCTGAAGGCCTTTCCTAGTGGCGCTCAAACTAGTGATACAAGTTTGTAACACTGTACTCCTATGAAATTTTACTAGCTTTAAGCAGCACAAAAAAAAGTAAATACTAGGCTTACTACGGAGGGGTTTAACTGCATGTATTGAGTGGGAAAAAAGAGAACCAAAAAATGCAATGGCCGGGAGTCGAACCCGGGTCTCATGCTGTCGAGATGGAAGCTTGCATTATGTTAGTATCTCACCACGTCAATATTTAAAGTGGCACTCACGCAAGAATGATAACCGTTACACTACCATTGCTTGTAATTTACAGGGTCTCCGCAAAACTTCTAATAAGAAAAGCAGACATGTCCGCGTTTTACGTAAGCATAGGCCCTAACCCTAATAACGAGCTTTTAGAGTAATTCCACTACAGCGCTAATAGCGCTGAAATCACTGTAATAATATTTAAGCTATATTAATAGCGTTAAGATTGTTATAATATTAACTATAGTTAATATAAATATTTTAGCTATTATAGTACTGTACTAAGCTTTAATTAATAAAATGAAAACATTTCAATTATTAAGAATAATAACTAACGTTATCATTATAACATAATTTACAACCTAATAAGCCACATCACTTAATAAGACACATCGCCTAATAATCTATCCTGTACCTAGGTCTCTACTTTTCTTCCACAATTCTCCTGCTTGAATTTTCTCTTCTAAGATTCTTCCTGCGTCAACCTTCTATCCATCTTCATCCCTAGGCTCTAATTCACATCCCTCTTCTCACAGATTAAGGATTTCAGAGGGAGCTTGTGTATGTAATATTTCCGAGGGTTCAACGACAGCTATCACATTTGCTGGCGTAGAAGCATTGATCCGTATCTGAGTGAGTGAGATGTTGAGTTTTTGGTCCCCTGTAGGATTCTTAACGCGCGTTGTTTTAGAAATACTAGTCTTGTTTGGCCTCGTAAGACATCTAAAATTTTCTTTATAGATGAAGTCGCTTTGCATAGATTTGCACCCTCGCCTTTTGCGAGCTTAGGCAGCAAGTGAAATTCACAAATAAAAGGATAGTTTCTATAAAGAGACTACTACAAGAATCTAAGCGATAATTAACAGGAAAATCCACTAGAAAGGACGGCACAAGCGCTTACCTGGATAGTTTGGTGAAGACTGATTCACCACTTAAGTCTTTCACCGGGTTGGTGCATTTAACGAGACCTCCCTGGGGATACTTGGCCTCCAGAAATTTATTTATTACCCACAATGAATCGCAGGGGTAGACAGGAAGGAGATTGTGAACAATAGTTTTCGCCGAACCTGAATATTTGTGACGTAGAGGAAGCGCCCTCATGGGCCAAAAGGTGAAATAATCTAATTTTATTGTTGGATTCCTCGCGGCTGCCTCTGAGGAAACTCTGGGGTGTTGCATAGTGCCGCTCTGGGATTCCCAAAGTCTCAGAAATTTGTTGCCATGGGGATGATTTTGGAGTGACAGACCTAGTAACGTAAGAGGTAGAGTCGAATACAAGGGTGGATCCGTCATCCCCGGCTGCCGAGGGTGTTGGCGTGTGGCCGAGGCATCGACCGGTTTGCCATCCTCATCTGTAATAACAACCCCTTCGGATACAAAATGAATGAATCTTTTCTCATTCTTGCTGGTTTGTTTCACGGCATTTGGGAGAGGAAGATCTTCCATGCTTCGAATTTCACCACTATGATTTATCCACGATATGCCATAGCTTGTAGTTTGAGAGTTCAAGCCCCGATTATATTCATAGATGCAGATTTCAGTACCGTTGAGATTATCCCTGGTAGAAAATATCTGCGAATCGCATAGCCTTTTTTCTTCCGGCTTGTCTAGAAGCTTATACACGTCAGGGGCCATTTCCTGGATGTGTTTAGCCATCTCTTGTAGACTATCCCAGCAACTTGGGCATCGTTGACACATTTTGCACGAGCAGGGATATCGGCTAGCCAACTTTGCAGCCGGATCAGTGCACCAGCCTGGCTTGCTTGATTTGGACGACGAGCGTACTTTACGCCGTGAGACAATTTTGTCGGCCCAGGAAGAAAACCACGAATCAAGTTTGGAAGATCCCTGATCGCATTCTCTGTCGATGCAGTGAAAAGATAGTAACTGCCTTGCTGGCTTACCTGTGATGAAGTCGCGAAATCGAAGAACTGATCACGGCTTCCTGCAATGGCCTCGTCGCTGACGAGCTTTACGATATGCTTCTCGTATAACCGGTTGACTTCATCTCGACGCTCAGTGGTATTAGTAGCCGTCCATGAAAACCCGCAGTTCATTAAGGTGTCGAGTTCCTTCTTCCCCTGTGCCCAGATCGCGGAGGAAAACCTTTGCGACACCTGCAGGCCCTGAGTAAATTATCCATTTAGTCCTACGAGCAGCTAGCTGCTGCTCTTTAGACGGCCGAAGTTTTGCGTTGGCTCTGAGAATTAGTCTCGTGGTGCTGAATAAATAGACCAGCGAGTGCGTTGTGCACCTTAGCTAGGCCTGCGGTGTGGTTCATCCGTGAGAAGGCTGAAGGTAGTGGATTGCTCCTGCTACGCCGAATTTCTTGAATATACTGCTGTTTTAGGTGCTGGAAACGTTGATAAAAACCAGTCCCTGAACCGGTCTTCTCCTCGACAGCCTTTATAATCTTGGTGCAAATGTCCAGCCTGGAGAGAATAGAATCTGTCAGCTTCAATCTTCGTCGAACGCAACCCAGCATTTTGTAGCCGTCATCGTAGAGATACCTTTCGAAAGCTCAATCGGATTTCCTTGATGTGCAACTCGACCAGGATGCAGTGCTGGAATGACAATAAATACAGAGTCATCATCAAGTCTGCCGGAGTAGCGGCGGATATGCAAATTGCTGGCTGCATCCAAAGGCCGAACTAGTTGTGTTGAAGGCTTCGTGTGGGTCTAAAGCCTTCAAGGGTGGGATAAGAAGGTTGATGATATAAGAATCATTCGCGTGTCCTGGGCAAGACAAGACGGGAGACGAAATGAAGTCTGGCTAACCAGATGACCGTATGCAGAACAGTAAGTGGCCTGAAAAGTTCAAAATATCGCTGAACAAACAATAAGACATCTTTAAGTATAGCAAGATCTACCTTTGGCCAGTTGAAGAGATTGAGAAAAGGTAAGTGGTTGTTCTTGGCCATTCAGGTGGTAAGAGTGGGTTCGATATCGCTAAGCCTTATTTACATGGACCTAGAGAAGTTAGAAACAGTGGCAGCAAGGTGAGAAGACCTTGAAGACCCTATGAAGAAAGACTCGCTCGAGGAATCGCGACAAGCACTTCGTGTAATATCGGGGCCAACCGTCAGGAACAGAGTCAAGCCGTTCTGCACAACGGAAAATGTGAGACTCCTAACGAGCGAATCTAACCGGTTTTTAGCAAATGGATACTTCGTTGTATAGTGGATATTGGCGTAATCCTTTATCCTCTTCGCGAGTGCCTCAACCCGGCTTTGTTCAGTTGAAGAGTTGGAACGGGTAACCGCGCGAGTATCAAGGCGCGGAAATACACAAAGTTGAAATCAATAAAAACTGTTTCTCGTCGTTCGTATTCGGTTCATGCCAAAAACAGGCCCCCCCCCGCTTCTGTATTGAGCACACCTGTCTGTGAAACCAAGGCCAGAGATATCATGACTTGCCTGTAAGAAAGCGATGAGTTCTTACTCCGTAACCTCCACACTATTATTGTCCACAGAACACATTCTTCTAGCGTTATAGACCTCTTCAACCAGTGTTTCTTAGTTGCCTTGTGAGTATAGTAATAATGTCGTCTGGGTGAAATGGATAACAAGTGAACCTCTGGGAGACACAAGATCCTTACGGAATATATGCCAAGGCGAGTATTCAGTTTTGCCAAAATATCAAACATATACCATTGTGGTAGTGTTAGCCGAGTTGAGAAGCTCGGTCCCTTTGTGAAGTATTTGGCACACTTCATAGCCCATGTTTAGGATTTCTTGGATGATCTCGAGTAGTTCACGAACTTGCAAAATTAACGTCCTAATTTAGAGTGAAGTGAATCTTGTAGGACGCTGAGACTTAGTTAAGGAGACGTTGCGTAAATTCAAAACTACCTTCAGCTGCTCAGGCGATGTGAGCAGAGAATAGTCCAGTATTTGTTGCCAAATGCCACAGTCTTCTTGCTCTGGCACCACATGTTGCGAGCATGGTTTAGAGCGGAAACATGGATGCCTTTCTCCTGTATGCGAGAGGTGATTGTGTCAAACACATACTTCTGCAAGTCGACTGCAGGTGAACTGGCTGACGACATGATATTTATAGGATTTTGGCCCCTTTCTTTCTCGTGAGTCTGCCGGTAAATCACCACTGTGAAGGCCTAATCTAGACAAGGTTAATAACTGTGGTGATGAGATGAAAAGAAAGAGTCTAGTAGCTAGGTGTAAGTTCGGCTACTAGTATAAATTGCTGATATGAAATGGATGGTATGCTAGAAAATGGCTGATATAAATTGACTGGTACAAAAGGACAGGTATAAAATGCCTCGTACACAATTGAGAAGATACAAAGTGGAGAGCGCGGCGCTATAACATGATGCCTGAGGTATTAAGGAACCAGACTTACCTAAATAGGAAACCGCTAACATCGGCGGCAGTTTACTGTTATTATTAGTAGGCTAAGGGGAAAGGAGTAAATATAATACAGCAAGCTAGTAGAACAATCTCTTTTATACCTATAAAAGCAGCTAAAACTAGCTTAAATATATATTTGCTATTAATTTTGCTATTATTAGTGACCTCTTATTATTCTTATTATTCTTATTATTTACTACTTTTTCCAATAGAAACAGCTGTTTTATAATTAAGAGCCTAAAAAGTAATGTCTCTAAGCTCTACCCCCCTTTTTTCTACTAGCTTTACCCTCTATTTCTCTAAACTTTAGCATCACACAGACTAATTTTCTACAAGCCCTACTATAATTCATTGGCAGCTTACTGATAGGAGCTTGTTCTAACTAAACAAGCCGCGTAATAGCGTTTAGGTTGGGCATAGACTATACTAATAAATAAATATAGGAAACTAATTAAAACTTCTCATCCTTGTTTGCAAGTTTGGACATGGTCTCAATAGCGTGCAGTACAGTTCCGCTCAGCGGACCTCTTCTCGCGGCAGTAACATTTTTCTCAAGCTCATCTAGTCGCTTCGCACCGAGAATAATGGCATCGCTGTCGCGCAGCTCCGAGTGATGGATCAACCAGCGCAGACATGCTTCTTGAAGAGTCAATGCCGGAGAAGCTGCTTCACACACAGCCTTCACAG